TAAAAAACAGGATATCTAGTTTTGATTTCCAAAGGCATTTGAATGTCAGATGTTCGCTCTTAATACTACTGTTATTTTAGTTTAATGTACGACTGTTATAACTAGAAGAAATTTAGACAGCAATGTCAAATTTCTACCATAACATAATAGATAATGAAATGTTTTTCAGCATAAATGTGATGACTCAGACAGATTACATATGTCAAAGTCAAGTGATACTAATGAGTATGGCTAGTCGGTTAAGGTATTCAAATTTCAAGTAATATCTTAGGGAGTTAAATACTACTGGATTCTGCACGAGAAAGCTCTTATTGTTAGAAGCCGTCAACTAAAATAAAGAGGCTGAAAGATTGTTGAATTAATTAACACTGAGATTCCAAGCTGCACTCAAGTTTCGTCCGAAGTTGAGGAGGTGACGTTTTGCGCAATAATGTTTTTCAAAATTTAACAAAGGATATCATTTTCAAGCATTCAGGGGTGAACCTTACTTTCTAAAAGACTTATTACTTAGTGTTACTGAGAAAATCCAAATTAATTAATTTATTAACAGTATGTGGAAACATTTTGTTAACCACAAATTGCGTTTCACACAAATGAATCAAGTTTTTTGTATTCAAGTGTTGGTTTGTAGGGATTTGATTGATTTCAGGATTTCATCATGAGCTGACATTAGTTAGAGAACCATTGGAAAACCTGGGAGTACTGGACAGCTGTTTCCTCCGTCCTAGTTTGGGACTCTTCAGCAGTACGCACCCACCGCCAGGGTTCGAACCCAGGACCTACCGGTTACAAGGCGAGCTCGTATACCATTAAGCCACTGGGACCCGCTCCAATGGTCCTTGAATTCTAACTTCTGCCAATTCACGACATAGCGCGACCGCTAGCGCTCATGATGAAATCCTGAAACCAATCAAATCCCTACAAACCAACACTTGAATACCAATAAGATGCTCACTGGCGACTGGCCTTATTCAGGTATGTAGTTACCTGGATTCCAGTGGGAAGTCGTGACCAGTAGGGTGCAGCAGGTCGGGTGTGAGGACAAATACTCGCCGAAGACATTGGCTAGCGGTCGCGCTATATCGTGAATTGGCAGAAGTTAGAATTCATGCACTGGCCATTGGATCGGGTCCCAGTGGCTTAATGGTATACGAGCTCGCCTTGTAACCGGAAGGTCCTGGGTTCGAATCCCGGTGGGTGCGTACTGCTGAAGAGTCCCAAACTAGGACGAAACAGCTGTTCAGTACTCCCAGGTTTTCCAATGGTTCTCTAACTAATGTCAGCTCATGATGAAATCCTGAAATCAAGTTTTTTGTGTCAGTAGGTAGAGTGAACCTTAGCATATGAAAACAGAAAAGCGTTGGAAAGGTTACCTTTCTTCATTACCTCAGAACCATCTTTGGAGTAGGTGTAGGTCTGAATATAAAGTGCGGAATTCTCAAAAGTTGTTTTAAAAACCGTTTATAGCGAGGTACAGCGTAGAAGTCATCTATCTTTTTATGTATCCATAAGGCTACATGGGTGCCAGCAGACAGGTGAACAAAAAACCAAATTGACTTCATCTCAATCTCAAGGAATTGGTGACTCAGCCTACTGGACACAAAAGTAAGAAGAGGAGCAGACGTTGGCTCACACTACTATCTCATGCAAGGAACAGCCAAATCAAATTAAAAACTTTCAAGGATACAGGAGCTGCAGACAGACCACAAGCCAAGTTCAGCACTCAAAAACTGAAGGATCAGGTCACAAAGAACATCTTCACTGGAATCATAAGGAAAAAAGCAGAGACAAAAATCAGCATTAGCGAAGAGACCACAGTTGAAAAGCACTGGAACAACCTGAAAGCAGTGCTGGGCCAAACTTGCATGGACGTTTTAGGCAGAAAGAAGAGACAGGACAATGAGTGGCTGACTACGGACACTTGGAGACTAATAGAAGAGAGAAGGATGGTGAAACAAAAGATTATCCAGTGCACCGACGAGTAACAAGAACAGGAGTTGAATGCAAACTACAATACACTGAACAAAAGAGTAAAGAAGAGTGCTAGGGAAGACAAAAAGAAAATATTTTGAAGCCATGACAAGTAAAGCAGAACAAGCTGCAGTGCAGGCAAAGGAGACCTCGCAACACTCCACCAAACAAGTAGGTTCCTATCGGGGAAGAGATCAACACAATCTAAGTTAGCGAAGGATGACAATGGGAAGTCAACCACCAAAGAGGTGGAGCAAAGCAAACATTGGGCTGGACACTTCAAAAGACTTCTTAATCTACCACCGCCTACAACGCGCCCAATAATACGAACAGCGGAAGCAGAACTACTAGCGGATACCAACCCTCCGAAGAAAACCAAAATCCTGAAGGCCATAAAAATGCTAAAAACTGGAGAAGCAGCAGGACTGGACAGAGTCCCCGCAAAAGCATTCACAATGAACTTAGAGACAACAGCAGACTTGATGACACCACTACTGGAAAAGGTGTGAAAGGAGTGCAAGGTACCTGTGGACTGGAGGGAAGGCTTCCTATTCAAACTGCCAAAGAAAGAAGACTTAATTCTATGCAAGAATTGGCGTGGCATCATGCTCCTGTCTATCCCAAGCAAAATACTAAGCCGCATCAAACTGGAGAGAATAAAACACACTCTGGACAAAAACCTTTGACTGGAACAGGCTGGATTCAGGAGAAACACTTCATGCATCATTCAAATCGCAACACTACGTTTCATCATTGAACAGAGAGCTTGAAATGGCAGTTAGCTCTCTACCTCAACTTCATCGACTTTGGGGTCTTACGTAGTGTCCATCCAAAATTGATTTGGAAACTACCTCACTACTGCGGAATGTCGCCAAAAATTATACACCTCATACAACAGTTGTACGACAACTCTGGATGCCAAGTAATCCATAACAGGGAACTCATAGAATCCTTCGAAGGGAAGACAGAAGTAAAACAAGCTGGCTGCCCACTACTATCTCCAATGATTTTCTTGATTGCAGTAAACTGGGAAGTGTGACAGACAGAAGGCAACGAGAAGACAGGCATAAAATGGACTCACACAAAAAACTTGAAGGATCTGAACTTCACCGATGATATATGTCTAAGTTCCCACAGACTGCAAGATATGCAAGTGAAAGGCGACTAGTTGGGAGAAGAAGCATCAGGAGAAGATAGGACTCTGGGGGAACATAGAGAAAACAGAGGTGATAAAGATTCCTAGTCAACAGCAACAGCAATAACAACAGACAACAATCAGCATAAATGGGAGGAATCTGAAAGAAGCAATACCCTTTAAATACCTACCTAGAAAGCGTCGATTCAAATACAGGAGGACGGAACTAATGAGGATATCAAAGCAATGATCGGGAAAGCAAGGCAATCTTTTATTACTCTCGAATATGTGTAGAGATCAACAGCATGAAAACGAAAATAAGATCCGGATTTTCAACTCCAATGTGAAGTCAGCGCCACTTACTATACGGATCAGAGTATAGTACTGAGTGTCACGAAGGGCACTTCAAATAAACCACAAGCCTTCATCAACAGCTGTCTTCGCTCAATACTCAAGATCAGATGGCCAGCCAGAAAAGATCGGCAATAGTAAGGGATATCTGGCAATGAGCGAACCAATTGAACCAAAAGAACCAATTGTGCAATAAATATTCAGGAAGAAGTGGAGTTAGGTCGGCCATACTCTGAGAAAACAAACCAACAACTGAGTGACTTCACAGACCAGGCCATCGCTTGATTGAAAGCGGAATGGGAAGCGACGAGCTGATCGTTAGTGCGTGGGTGGGGTGACATGGAGGAGGTCATGAGAAGAGGAGATAGAAGCATATGGACAGACTTGGGGACAGGTGAAAACGTTGGTGGAGAACCAGATGCAATGGAGACATGCGGCTGAATCCCTATGTTCCTCTAGGAATTAAAGGAAACAATAATGGTAATATTGAAAGTCTTAAAAAAAAGAGTATTCCTAGGAATCTCTTATTGAACAATGATTAAACACTCTCATTTCATACTCACCCTAAGTGATACTGGTTATTTATTCGTAGTTGTTCGGTAATGGACTTGATATTCTTAAATATTCACCCGTTTGCAACTAGATATAAAGCTGTTTAAAATAGATTCGTAAAATCTAATAGTATGGCAAACGAAAATTTTGGCAGTTCAAAGAATTTCATTGAGCGGAATAATCTGCTCTTGCAGTCTACGTTTACTGGGAAACATCTCAGGAAATTCATAAATTTGATAATTAATGCACTATGTAGTGAATATGAAATATGATAACTTGTGGTAAACTGAAAAATGCGAAAATATTGAGGAAATAAATAAAAAAGACATGGTTTATTACTGTAGTGTGTAAGCACCGTACTTTTCAGAATATTTGGTTACGAGCAGGAAGGAATAGGCCACTGAATTCAGCCCATCCAAAGTGTTCTTTCGTGACAAACCACCTAAAAGACATATCAGCTCTTTAAAACTAATCCACTGTCTCTTTGGTGACTAAACTTGTGAGAATGCGTAAGTACTGTTGTCTGCATTGTCAGATCTGAGGATAGGCACTTGCCCGTGACAATAGCTGATGGTGGGTCTATAATTAATTCAGTTGGATTCCGTTTGACCAGATGATTGATAACATCCAAGTCTGACAACGTGAGGGTTTTGAGTTTGACTCCCGGTGCGTCTACCTAAACAGATGCAAACTAGGACGAAGCGTCTGTCCATTAATTTTTTGGTTTTCAATAGCTCTCCTACTATAAATGTGATCTTTACCTCTTATTTTAAAGTATAGTTTGTTTTCCTCCACCAAGTAATTCAGTAATTGAAAAACAATTACTGAAGTGACTTAATTTGTGCAAATACAGTCTACATTGATTTAGGATTATTCGGATAAAATTTATAGCAACAGTAAGCAGGCCGTTATAGCTGGAATGATATTTAATTGGACTAAATAATGGCAAAGGAAACAAATCATAGAAAAGCACTGATTGCATATAACTTACTGTATTCGATTTCTAATCCAAGATATTTTATTTTATTGGCTTCATGGAATGCTTTTTTCTTAAGGCGACAGATTCTAAACAGTAAAGAATAGTGAAATACGTTTACCTCATTAGTTTAAGATGTTTGTAAAAAGTGTATGTGAAATGAAGTAAAATGATAAAGCTCCTTGTTTTATCAATCACTGTTGAATCGGCTTATACTTGTGAAATCGATCTCTTGTAAAGTAGGTTCTCGAACCATCCTAAGTTTAAAAATTAGTCGTAAAATAATTCAATTTGTCAATGATATGTTTTGAACATACGCTGCACAACCTTTTATACCGTAAAATCGTTTCTTTATAAAGTACCAATGAGATATTTCCACACCAGAAGTTGATTACTGAATCATTATTCATCGAGTCTACACCCAACATATGCAATAGAAATTATTCATCACTCATACCCGAAATATGGAAAATACTACTACCAATCAAATCAAGTGAAAACAATGGAACTATATAAATGAAGTTTGGAAGTCGTGTGGTTACCTTGATATGATTATGAGCAATAAATTTTGCTCGAAACGTCATCAGTAAACATTATTGATAACACTGTGAGACTTTATCAAAGCAAAATTTACCCTTAATAGAATTACACTCTACCACAGTGCACAAGTTATATTCTTATACCAGTAAGGAACTCTAATAGTCAATGAACCCACCGATAACCTATTAAATGACGAATACGCTGAAGGCAATGTAGATAGATTGGAGACACTGAGAAAACTGTTCAGTAACATCATGCCAAGCTGGAGCTCGACTGGAACACGAATGCGAAGCGACATCCTGCGTCTATGCACAATGGTGACGTGAAGGAGACTGAGTGAGGAAGAGATGGGAGCTTATGGGCAATTCTGGAGGCAGGTAAAAGGAGTGCACTGAGCAGGATAAAATGTGGATGTTTTGTTTAAGCCTCATTTTTCACTTGGAACTCAATGGAATGAGAAAAACAGTAAACCACTAAAGTCAACTGGCTGTTTGACATGTAAGAAATGGTCACCAAGGTTTCTGCAGTATATATATGTATATTATTTTTGATTATAGCTTGATTCCATACCGTATTTTTGGTACAGGTATGGAATTTTCAGCATGTGATATCGGTAGCCCAAATTTTGCGGGCCAACCATAGATATCAGGTGTGCGTCGGCAGCGGATCGAACCCTGGACCATATGCATGGTCGGCGAAAGTCCAAATCACTGTGCCACCGAAAATCAAACAGGAGACAGAGATAAATATTGTTCTAGCATTAGCTAATCTGCTGTTTAGCTTACTTCAGTATTTAACATCCACAGTTATGACATGCATATGTCCTGTGAGATTCTGATCCGCCCCAATCGGTGTAGAAGTTAAAGACTGAAGTGTAGGAAATCAGTACACAATTTCGATTTCAAATTCAAAAATTCATACAACTAAATATTGTTCATTGAGCAGGCACACACTTCCATCAATCTAACTGGAGCCCTGAATTTGCGTAAACTAGTCATGTCAACAGCAAAGCATAGACACTATAGTCAAATGACCTTAAGTCAACTAATCAGATACCTCAGCATTACAAATAGATGCGCTTCATAATCTTGGTTGCAAGTTCCATCCTGATTCAGCGTTAAGGTTAAGGTAGGAGTAGAGTAGGGTTATGATTAAGGTTACACGACGAAAAGCATACACTTGTAATGCCAAGCGGTCTGATTGGTTGGATCAAGGTTATTTGACTATGGTGTTTATTCTTCACCGTTGTCCAAATCATTTATCCATGGCTTCGGTGATACATAACCTGAGTGCCTGAAAGAAACAAGTGACTAATGCAATTCACAGGAATTTGCGAAATAAATAGTGATATGGTTTCAGAGAAACACTAGTCACTGAATTTTGTTTAATATTCATTATCATTTGATGATCATACTTCACTAGTCTTCTTATCTACTTTCCATTTATTCCTGCTTTTTCTCTTCTATATTACTGAAAATTGTGGTAGCGTGAGCTAGACACTATTGTCTTATGTTCAACAGCCGTTTGATTAGCTTTTGACTTATTCTCTTTATCAGCCGAAAATAAAACACGCAATAAATTATCTGGCCAGTATAGCATTTATTCAATCTTATAAAGACAGTAGTTATCGAGTTCACTGAGAGGTATAGAAATAAAAGAAACTGCCATTAATTCTTTAATTAAGCATTTATATGCATACTATTATGGTTAGAGGAGTAAGAACAGAATCACCGGGAATCAAATAGATAAGAATCTACAGGTCTTCTCGGCATTTAGCAAGCCTAATAGAAATTAATGTATGGCTTTATTAGGATATTCACGCGTAGGAAAATTAAATCCATGCAAGCAAATACTTGAAAATCAGTCTAGTTCTCATTAGTCACCCACTAGAGGACGAAGTTGTTTGAATTTGTAGTGAACAGTCATGATCAGTGTGTTTCACCAATTCGGGTGTGATAAAAAAATGCTCGCCGATGACAGTGATTGATGATCTCGATGTATTGATAATAAGCAGAAGTTAGAATTCGTTAGATTCCATCTCAGTGGCTGAATGGTCTATCAGTTCTCTTTGTAACCTGAAGGTTCTTGGTTCAGTCTCTGGTGGGGGGTATGAGCGCTGAAAGTACCAAATAAGAACGAAATAACTGTCCAGTACTCTCTAGTTCCTCTAAATGAAGTCAGTTCGTGATATATGTTCAAAAAAGTAAATTATTTTAACTGTTAAATTGTTATTATTGTTCCCTTGGGTTCCTAGTGGAACATAGGGCTTCAGCTGCACGTCTCCACTTGCTTCTGTCTCCCTTCTGCTGTACTTTCCACCTGCATCCATCTTAGTCTATATTGTTTCAACTCCTCTTCACACGATCTCCTCCATGTCACCCTTGCAGTGACGACCCACTCGCCGCTTCCCTTTCGGGTTCCACTCGAGCAATGGCCTGACGCGCACGCGATGTCACCCAGTGGCCTCCTCAGCGAGTCCAATTCATCTCCATCTTCTCCTGCATATTTGTTGGTTGGTGGTTGGTTCTTGTTTTGTTTGTTACCATAGTTTCTTGTTGGTGGTTCTTTCCGGCCCGGCCATCTGATCTTCAGTATAGATCCAGCGAAGACAGTTGGTTGATAAAGGTCTGCAACAGGTTGTTGAAAATATTCTTTGTGACCCGCCCGTCAAGTTTCTGATCCGCATAGAAGAACTGACTGACTTGACTTGTTTGTATTGGAAATCCGAACTTTGTTGTTGATGCTGAGTGACGAAGATTTCCAGATTGGTTTCAGGTTGATGAATGTGTTTCTCGCCTTTCCGATTCTCGCTCGATTTGACATGCTTGTCCGTTCCGACTGCCTGTAGTTGGGACAATGTTCCCTAGATAAGTGAGTGAATGAAGTAACTTCTTTCTTTTAGTGACCAGTATTCACAGTGCTTAAGTGAAGGTGACGTAAATTATTTCGAAACGTATCAGGCCATTGCTAGTTGGATCTTACTATTGGATGCAGTGGAATAAATTAGACAAAAATATTATTATTACTAAAATTTTTGAAATCATGGAGAATACAGTGGAACGAAGAAAAGGTATCTTCGCTGGAGCTCTTATTTTCTGTCTAATTACTAGAATTATCACTATTTATGTAGCTCATAAATGATGTATTATGGACACCAAGAGATAATGCATTAATGATTTCAGAAACAACACAGTTATCCTACGTCTCATTGTACCACATTTTAAATGTATCACCCCTATGCCTTCTCTATTTTATCTCAAGGATTACAAGCAGTGGATGGTATGAAAGCCGCTGGGATGACACTGGTAACACAAATTCAAATTTTAAAAAATGTCATTGTTTATTTAAACACAACCCTCACCATATCTAAATACATGTCGTTAGACCTCATGATTACCGATACACTGTCACAAATAGACGGTGGCAACTCTAATGTAGATCTAACACCAAGGATTGACTCACACCCCCAACTTGTAGAGGTACAATTTCTTACTGCAGTTTGTGATGACGCGATGGACATCACAGCTGTTTCAGAAAAGACTCAAAATGATGTGTGCCACTGTGGATTTTACTATATGATACAGCTATGTAGACGAACATAGCTTTACACAACTTCTGATGATTAACCTACAATAGGGAGTACAACTTTCTGCCAATCTTAAGACTGTACTTCACACCTGTAGGGTGCACAGCACATAACAAACTTAGTTACAATGCCCATCAACTGATTAAATACAGTCTGTGTTTTATATCACAGTGAAACCGTACTTTCTTAACAATAAAAGTAGAGTTTTCCGTGCTAAAGGCACAGACATATAAAGCCATCATACTAGAGTTCATAACCTTATGAGCTGGAAACAGAGTCAGCGCCAACCTTATTTGACCTCAATTATGGCTGACAACACAACTGATATGTGTTTGTAGGCACTCACTGGACCTTAGGTATTTCTATTGGAAGTTCAGAGTATTGAAGTATTTTGGTGGATGGTGACTAGCAGTGCTATTCATTATGCGTATTTCGTCCGATTTAAGACTCGTCATCCGGAATTACCTGCACTCCTCAGTGAGTGATGGTTTTCCCACTGGGACTCAAACCCAGTATTCATTGTTTCAAACACCAAAGTGGCGTCTCTTGGCCCAGGAGGTCTAGTAGATAGCACTAGGGCATTTGAAACGTTGGGGGTTGGGACAATGACGTCGCCATCCCATACTGTTAAGAAACTTTCAACTGATTATACATTCCTAAATCATATAACCACTTTGCTGAATTTAGCCTTGCATTTTTAAAAGGAGCTGTAATTTGACAATGAGGGACTTTTTAGTTACTTTTAAACCTCTGTGTTTTTCGATAGATCAGTGTCCACCAAACGTAACTTAGAAATTTTAAAGAACACATCTCAGTCAAAATATTTTCTAAGTATCCAGCTTGGCATCATGTGAGTCTTTGCAGGTTACTGATCGAAATAACCTCTGCTTCACATTGTCCTTCTTGTTGCCTGCTAACTATCTAGTCTAATACCATACTCGACAGGTAAAAAGTGCATTCTCTTCGAAGCTCACATCCATTCCATTAGAATTAATTGAAAGGTTGTAAGCTATAGTTTTTTCTTCTCTTTAATTTATGTACTGACATTTAGATTATAAGTTGTCTGGGGATTTATATTAACTTCAGTGTAGATTTCTTTACGAAGCAACATCACTTACAGAATCAATGAAAACCAGTGAGCACTGAGCAGCTGTCTTGTCCCAGCTTGGGACTCTTCAGCTTTCCAGTATTCTATGATTTTCAGTGATTATCTAACTGATGTTGGTCTATAACGGAATCCACATGAATAAGCTGATAACAAGTGTTTTAAACCTAATATCTGTTTTTAAACAGAGTGTGGTCAATTCAACATGGTTATGACAGCTACGATTTTGGTAAATATATGTCATACTTCTTCAAGTTTTCCGGACTGTCAAAATTCGCGTCTCGCAACCTACATCCCTAATGTTAACGGTTATTCCGTCCGGTCAAAACACTATTTCAGTGATAAGTGAAAAACAATTCAATATCTTTGCTAATATGATGTGATACAATGTATACTGCTCACAATATAAAAACTCAGTATGCTTTTCCGAGAATATTATTATATAATTTGTAAAACGCTTGGTTTAAAAAGGCAAAGAACTTACTTGCTGGCTAATTTGTTTTTCTCGCGTTTGGCCTGTTCAATAACTTTTGTATTTGAAATACAGCCAGAAATATCCTGAATTAGCTTCAAATCGATGTTTATATCTGAATGATCAAATATTTTCATTGCTCCAGCAGAAATTAATTCCCCTTGAGCTGATATATGTCTATTTAGATGCACAAGTTCTTCGCCCATGGAACGTAGTCTCATTAGATTTGGAGTCACATCATTTCCGTCACCTCGACGCAGTTTTGAACAGTGAACTAGGTCATATCTTCTCTGCACAGGGTCTTCAAACACAACCAGTGGATAGTTTGGTAAGGAAAGCGGGGATATCGGATAATGTATTAACTGTTGAACAACACCAGAAGATGCACTCGAAGAAACAATATCATCTTGGTAGTCGTTTGAAACACAATCTTTTGCCGAATTTTCCAAACTATTCTCACAGTGATTACTTGCTATTGCTCTGTTTGTCAGATTTATTAATGGAGAAGCTTTTGGTCCTTTACACTGAGAGTTATACAACCAGAAATATGCCCCACTTGACAAGTTCAGATTATGAGTAATTGGTGAGTTTGTTTCAGTACCTTCAAAATTAAATTTCAGGAAATGTAAATCGATAGATATGACAATGTGTACAGGGATAGTACGTTATATTAATTTTAAATTATAGATATTTGTTAGTGATACTGCTATACGAGGGAAAAAATAGTTTAGAAAGTTGTGCATCTTTAAATAGCTTGTTGAGATACTTAGAATAAGAAAATTACAACTTAGGTTAATTTGTCACGAAGTACAAAAGAGTTAAACAGTGAACATATTAGAAATTTTACCAGCTAATTCTCATTAAAGTGGTTTCATACCTTAAATGAATTAGTCATTTCACAATTATTGTTATTTTATTTTATTGTTTGTCTCTTGAGTTCCGAGTGAAACATAGAGCTTTAACATCAGATTCTTATTTCGGTCTGTTTCGTGCCTTCATTTTAGCTGGTTCCACAACTGATCTAGACTTTAATTCCCTCTTCAAACTTTTTTTTCCATTTTGTCCTCTGACACAGACGCAACTCTCCGCTTCCCATCCCGGTCCCCTTGAAATGCCTAACCTGCGGTGCCACTCAGTTACCAACTCATCAGGTATCTTATCCATCTCTATTTCCTTCAGCACATTTGTTAGTCAGTGGGTTATTGGTTGGTTTGTTGACTATCAGAGTTCCTCATTGTCTATCCTTTCCGACCATCTGATCTTCAGTATTAAGAGGAAACAACTATCGATTATGGTCTATATTAGACTGCTTGAAGTGCTTTTGGTGACTCACAGTCGAAGTTTGTGAAACTTATAGAAGAAGTGACTTGACTTAGTGTTGAGAATCCTAATCTTGTACTTGATGGTGAGTGCATTAGATTTCCACATTCACTCCGGAGTGACGAACGTCAGTCCTGCTCTTCCAGTTCTATCTTAGATATGCTCAAACGTGCTATCTTTGGCTGAGACAGCTCTGCCTAGACAAGTAAGAGAGGTGACCACCTTCAGCCTACTCCCGATGATGATGACTGGTGGTTGTTATGTTTAGTTTTTTAGTTGCATTAGGGCCTTCCATTCTACTAGTGATATCATGACAGCCAACCCGTCTGGGTGAGTAGAGCACATTTGATAATTGGCTCCACAATGATTGATTTGGAGAGTTCACTTCCATTCCCTCTGCTCTCTGTCTCAAAAATTTGTAATGCTTCTGTTCCGCGCCCTCTCATTTCTTTTATAATCAGAGCAGTCTTCCCAGACAATTTGTGGTGATTGACAGTTTCTATCTCTGTATTGTTTAAATACTTACTGTTGATTGTTAATATATTTCTTATAAGAATTGAATAATAATTCCGCCAAATACAAATTCCTGAATTCATCCCTCTCTGTGTTTTGGCTGAATTCTTGTAATTCGGTCATCTCGAAATACTAATACTACTATTACAAAAAATTACAACATAACTTCAAACATCCTGCTGATATTCATTGTCCTTATACCTATTTTTGCCTTGATCAAAAGAAGACACAAGCTGAGTGATTTCCCAAAGGCTTTTACTGACCCGTATCATTCCACAACTCCGACTGCAGAGACGCAAAGGTCTATTTATATTTAATCTTCTGTGCACTTAATAATCTGCAGCTGCTAGATTGATTTTTCGACCCACCGTCGGTAGCCTTATGTCAAACTATCCCTCTTCTTCTGGGTTCGGGACCGTTTAGGAAACAAGCAAGGAAACTAAACAAGGTTTTACCAACAGGACGCATTCAAAATTTTCAAATTATGTGCAATATATTCAGAAGTTTGAAGTTAGCGTGTAACTCTTGTTACTGGATCCAGTGAGCTAACGACTACAACTGGTTACGGGGTGCAAGGAATTATATGTACCTTAAGGTCGTTCACTAATTGACCTTAACCCACTGTTTATAATGATAGTATTCATTATTAAGATAAGTAAAGGGAACTTAAATTTTGAAATAAAACTTGTGAACTGGAAAATACAGATAGGATAATCATTACTGTGTTGTACTTACTTTTCTAAGTATATGAATACATAACTGGAACAGAAAGTTGATTGTCATATAGAAGTGTTACACCGCATTAAAATGAAATTTCTAAGATTTTTTACAACGCTTAACAAAAATTAAACTGTATTTAATTATTTATACAATTATTGTATGCTTTAGTTGTAAAGAGACATATTATCACCTGTCTTTTAAGACAGTAAGACTGAAATAAATTATACAAATAAGTGAAAATACATAGTGATATTGAGTGATTGAGTGTGAAATATTATCACTTAGCGGAATGATCAAAGTAAATCTAGACAAAATCTAGACTCTTAATTTGAAAGCAATAACGAAAGAAACAATTTTTATTAAATTATTTATTTTTCAAAACACACACTGTAATAACTTTCACGCTTGAAATGTTTTCTATTACTTCAAACTGTTCATATAATTGAGAGTAAAAAACTATTCTTTATTGAAAGGAAAACTATAATGTGAATCAATGAGGAGACAGAAATAAAATCTAAAATACAACGGCACTCATTTCTTCTGAAATAACATTCGTGGGTGAGGAATGCGAAAGAATTAAGAAAAAAAATGTATCACCAACCCTTTAATTTATTTAGTTAGCAAAGGTCAAAATCATAATTAACTCTCAGGAGATGGCTAGAACATTGGACAGAACATGTTGAGATGCAGTTAAACTGGTCTATAGGTGAACTATAATTGTCCAGATTATAACTGTAACCTGAAAGATATATCACTGTCTCATCTTAAAATCTAGTCAACGTCTCAAAAGCTGTCTCTAATTTAAATCCAGGTAAGATATCAGAACCTGACTGGGAGTGATGAATTATTAGCAAGGCTAAGGCTCTGTTTCATATATAAATGTCTGAAACAAACTTAATAGATTAGTGTAAATTCTTAGTCTAGATAAAAGTGTATATGTTAACCAAAGGCGTATTAGCTCACCTTATAAAGTGTCGAAGATCAATATAACAACATTCAAGAGGCAGAGAAAGTGTAGCTCAGTGAAAACATACCCTACAGAAACCAAGTAGACAAGATGGCTGAGTGGATGTATTCATCATGTCTTCTCTTATTGATTAGTTGTGGAATATATGCAGACGATACTGTCCATTTAGGTATGGATGCTGACAAAATTCAATCTTTTTGAATAAACTGAACAATCAAAATCATACTTCATTGTTTGTCTACACTGACTCCTAATTTAAAAATCGTTAGTACAATTTTAAAGTATGTCGACCACTTTGATTATCCAGAGGATCACATCAAACCTAACGGATAGATTTCTGATGAAAGTTTAGCCAGAATACAAGAGTTCCGTTTGACATTTCTCCAACATTCTTAATTGCTGGTACACACAGGATTTCCGTCCATCCATCAAGGGATGTATGTAGTCTGCCTGCGTGTATTTGGAGAAAACGCTTCCTATATCTACTATAAAAAATTAACTTTGATCGTCTCTGAATTTACTTTGAAAAAATAGCAACAACTTGAAGTTCCCTTAAGTAAGTTACTTTAGGAAACCAGTTTGTAAGGTTTTTAATAGTTCAAGACTGTAATGTGTCATATAATGCTCTTCGTTCGCGTTTCATATGCATATATATGCCCATTTATGTATTTTTTATTGTAATTGAGAGTTGACTGAAAGTATTTAGATGTTTAACGTAATATCAGACAAGATCATTTTGCTAATGATTCTGTACAGATTTTTGTCACTACTGATCCATGAACATTTTAAAATTAACCCATGAATTATGCTATCATATACGTTTCTGAATAATGTACATTACATAATTTCTTATACAAGACAGGACTGCAGATGAACATAAAGAAGACGAAGGTGGTGGAGATAACCAGCCAACCACTGCAAAATCAACCAGCACCAATCGCCAGCAACAGGAAAGATTCAACAGAGGTTACTTCCTTCACTTTTCCAATCAGGAAGCATTGGTTCAACCACAGGCAGTCGGAATGGATGAAGATGTCAAATTTTGCCAGGATCAGAAAGGTAAGATACGCAATCATCAACCTGAAACCAGTCAAAAAAATCTTCTACTTCACTCAGCCAGCATAATGAAGAAGAAGAATCGGATTTTCAACACAAATGTGAAGTCAATTCTTCTATATGGGTGGGAAACTTGCACTATGTGTCACAAAAAGGATTTCCAACAGCCAGTTGGAAACCTTAATTAACAGCTGCCTTTCTGTCCATACTTAAGATCGAATGGCTAGAAAGAATTAGTAACAAAAATCTTTGAGAACAAACCAATCAAGAGCTGATTGCTGAACAAATAGGTAGGAGAAGGTGGAGACTGATCAGGCATACAGTGAGTAGACCGTCGAATGATATCGCGCGCAATGCAGGCCATCGCTCGAGTGGAATCCAAATATGAAGCGATAAGTGGGTCATCAGATCAAGGTTGACACGGAGGAGATCGTGTGAAGAGGAGATGAGAGATTATGGTCAATCGTGGACGCAACTGAAGAGGACGGTAGAAAATAGAAAGGAAGCGGAGATGTGTTGTTGAAGTCGTATGTTCCACTCGGAACCCAAGAGAATAGTAATAATATAATAGTTAACTTGCATATTCACTCCTAATCTATGAAATAAATTATCATAAGAATACTGTCATAATTTTCTTTTGTCTGTTTTTTCCAACGTTTTATTTTGCTTCATTTTTTTATTTGCTAAACATTTTGTGATTTTCTCATGTAATTAATCTGAAGGAGTTTTTGATGACAGTACTGTATGGAAAGAGATGAGCAATATACCAGAGATAATTAAACAAACAAATAAAAAATGATGACTTAACCAACTTGTCATTCGCATTAGAGATGAGCAAATATTCACTTGGTGAAAATGTTTTTTTTTTAAATAGAAAAAGGACTACAGGTTTTAATAACTTCGTAAGTAACAAACATAAATATGTGGAAAGCAGGGCTTTTTCACAATAAAGCTATTTATACTATTACAATCTAACTATCTACAAATAGTTTTAAGTATTTACTTAAAAAAGCTGACCAACATAA